GTTATAGTTTTCTTTTCCTATTTTTTGTCTCCTTTTTAGCAGCTTTCAATAAGTAGCACATTTTATTTTTGAAAAAAGAATCAGAGCCCTTACGGAGCAGCCGCGCCCTAAGGAAGGTCAGGAGATTAGGGAGCGGAAGTAGGCTGGCCAGACTCTGCTGACCACAGTAAGGGACTGCCGCTTTCCTCCCATAATTTAATTTTGAGACTCCAATGAAAAGGTAACCCCCCCGCCCCCCCAAAAAAGTCTTTCCTGAAAAAAAAAGTGAAAAATTGTTAGAAAATGGTCATCAAAAAGTGATCAATTTAAATTTATGTCTTACAAACAAACCACATGGAACTAACCGCAGGGCAGACATGCATTTGCAATGATATATGGACAGTCTCAACATATGGGCATGACTTTGCAGGAGAGGGCGAACATTAGTCGTTGGTGGGCTTTGGCCTAATATCACAGGTCTTCTGAAATTCTAAATGTTGCACGTCACAAATCAGAGGACAGTAAAATAAAAGGAACCTTTGAATTTCACTGGCCCAACTCCCTCATCTTACAAGTGGGAAAACGGAGACCTCAGGATAGACAGTCATTTGCCCAAGGTCACATAGCTGGTGAGGGGCAGCTTGAGGACTCAAGCTCAAGCCCCCATCTCAAACTAGGCTTCTTTCCCCTGAGCTAAACAGTTCCAAGGTGAGAAACTGCAAACCCTCACATCTAATCCAGAAGTCCCCTTTCTAAGGAAACCACACCCGCCCCCCTGCCAATGGCCCTGCGTGTTGCCTGTGGTAGTTCATCTGTCACAGCCTGAAATGACTTCTTCAGCCGCTACTAAATGGCTTCTTCAAAGCAGATTAGGCACATGCACGTGTCTCCCAGGGCTCAGCCTCCTGCTCTTTTCTCTGTCTTCAAAAGGTGTACAGACCATGACATAGCTGCCTAAATGATCTCTGTTTACTGGGACCTATCGATGTCACCATCATCTGCCATCACGCAGGTTAAAACTTTAGAGATCAGCTTCCTTCTCTCATTTCCTCCCCTGCTCTCACCGGCACCATAGACCACCTCCCATGTTCACCTCCTAATTTACATTTCCACATGCCCTCACCATCAAGGTCTTCCTGTTTCCAGGTTCTCACCACTTCAGTTATGGTCCACAGTGGCTAGGACAGAGAGATCTAATTAGCTACAGTGACTTCTCCTGCTCAAATCCCTAGCAGCGGTTCTCAACCTGTGGGTCGCGCCTATCGGAAAACACATATAGCATATCAGATATTTACATTATGATTCATAACAGTAGCAAAATTATAGTTATGAAGTAGCAACGAAAATAATTTTATGGTTGGGGGTCACCACAACATGAGGAACTATATTAAAGGGTCGCGGCATTAGGAAGGTTGAGAACCACTGATAGAGGATAAAGTCCAAACTCTTTAGCAGAGCATCTGAGCACTCTCCAGCCTAGCCCCTGCCCATTTTTGGAATCTAGATTCCAGTAGCCCCACCCTCCCCATCACCATTTACTCCATCTCAACTGGACCACTGTGCTTTCCCAAATATTCCTGGAACTCTGCATTGACTCCATTCCTTCTTTTCAATCCCTGGAGGTCTTCATTCCTCCACATTCAGTCAGATGCCACCACCTCTGCGCATCTCCCCTAACCATCCCAGAAGGAAGGAAGACTTCTTTTGTGCTCCCTCAGACTTTTTTGTGGCACTCATGTGATTCTGTCCTGTACTTTAAGTTGCATCTCTCTCATGAAATGGATCTCTTTTACCTTTGAAAAGGTGCCTCATTCCTCTGTGTACCCACTCCTCACCATAGTGTTTCACCAAGTGCTTTTCTTTCTTGATATTTACTGAGCACTTACTATCTGCATGATACAAACTCTAAGGGCTGGAGGAGGAAGATACAAAATAATTAAAATGCAAGCCCTCTCTTCGGGGGAGCTTTAATCAGTGAGACATATTCAGGAAGAACCTAAGCAAGTAAACTGATTGTGGGGGTGGAACTGGGTGGAGGGGAAGTGCTGAGTATGGAACAAACATTCTCAGTGTTCCAAAGGAGAACACTGGTGTTATGATATGGAGGGTGGGGTGATGGGGGAGGAGTAGAGGGGAAGAAAAGGCAAGGCTGCTTTTAAATCCTATCTCTGCTCTGGTCATTATTAGAGTCCTGTCTCCGTCTGGCCAATGAACCCATCTTTCCCTAATACGAGTAATCTTCCTAAAGCAAGTCTCTGATCACTTAACTCCCTGTTCAAATGTTTGCTGTCGAATGAATCAAGCATCAAATAATTGCAGGCTTATGCTAGAGATTGTGGAGAAAATCAGTCAGTAAGAAATGAGACAGACTCCAGGAAACAGCTGGAGAACAAAAAGCAAGAACATGCTGTAAAAGTGCTGGGAGGTAGGCGACAAGCAAGTGTAATCAGTATGGTTAGTCAAGAAGGAATAATCAGGCCAGGCAAGCCTCCAATGGATGGCCACTTGGCAAGAGAAATTAGATGTACTCAGTGAACTTTAGGGTTCCTTTCAATTCTCAGACCCCATTTATTCTTTGAGATGGTTGGTTCATTCAGCAAATACATGCTAAGCACTTCAACAAAACAGTCATTAAATATTTATTGAATGCGTTCTGTGTGCCAGGAACTCTGAGAGGCACTGGAAACAGAGCTGTGAATGAGGGACTTTGCACTTGAACTCTTACAGTGTCAAAAAACTCTTACAGTATTTTGTTGCAACAAAATAATGACGGGAGGGTATAAGGTGCTGTAGGGCCAAAAAGCAGGGAACATCACAGCCCAAGGTCTAGGAAAATATCCCTGAGAGGTGATGTTTAAGCCAAGACTCCAAGGCTGCACATGAGTTAGTTAGACAAAAGGGACAGAGCATTCAGAAAGAAGAATCTCATATGCAGAAATCTAGAGTTAGGAGAGTATGGTGTATCCAAGGAACTGAAAGTCATTCAAAGAGACAGCATGAAGGTTAAGTAAAAGGGGCGGCAAGAAATTAGGCAAGAGGTAGGCAGAACCAGGTTATAAAGAATTTTGCTAGAATATATCATAGAGTTTATATTTCATCAATAGGCTTTTGGTAACATTAAAATATTTGGCTCAGTGTATCTAACCTAATAAATACTAGTACTTAATGTCTGCTGAGGAGTGGATGAATAAATGGATGGATGCATGAATGGATGGATCTCCTTTGCAAGGGATGAGGGCTTTTATAATGACTCAGACTTCAGCATTTGCTCCAACAAGCAATTACAGGGAGCATCGTCCCCTTAGGTTTGCAGAACATAATGAACTCCTGACCCCTGTCAGGCTGCCCCTTACCTTAGAAGAATTACTCAGTCACCTGCCTTACCCCAGCAGATGGCTTTTAAGTAAATCAGCATTAAAGTCAAAGGTTTTTTACAGATGAGGATAAAGTGTTACCTGGTGATCATTTAGGCTAAGCTGAGAAAGTGTAGCCTGACTCCTCCTTAACCCTTGATGGAGGGGGAAAAAACAGCCTTCTGAAACTCAAGGGCATGAATAGTCCCAAATTTGATCATTTGTAGCAATGCTGAACAAATAAGTCCAAGGAGAGAAAGAGAGAGAAAAAATGTTCCAGAAGATGTTAATGGGAAAGAAAAGTAAGACCCTTGTGAAAAGCTAAACTGAGCTCTTCCTTTGAACACGGGGTTTTAGGAATCACTCAGTCTTGCTCAGATTCCAAAACAGCACCTGGCGGGGACCAGTGGGCTGCCAGGTGAGCTGCTATCCCTAGAAAAGGGGAGATGTTCAGGAATACAGCATGCCATTTCCAGGATTCTAATTAGTTAACCAGGACAAAGATGAATACTCCACCCTCCTGTTTATAACCAAGAGACTGATTACCCACAGAGTCACATTCAAAGTTGGGGAGTTGATTCCGCTCCAGATATAAATAACAGCCCAGAGTCACTACCTAGTAGAAGGGCCCAAAATTATTTCTGAAGTCATCCCAGCAGCTAAGCTTTCATTTGGCAGAGAGAGACGATCTGAACAGAGCTTTAGAAAGAGTCTTAAAGCTGTTGCTAGGGACGTGTGTGTGTGTGGGGGGGGAGTATTCATATGTGCTCTCAATCTGCAATGTCTCCCTAACACAATAAGCAGCCTGTGAAGGTCTCTTGCCATTTTACTTCAGAGAGAAACATAAAAAACTGTCTACATTAGCGGCTTTCTAGGAAATTCATTCTGTCTTTTTAGTCATGTAAAGCATGCTGCTGTGAAAGGAGCCAGGTGCACCCATAGGTGGCTCGCCTGTAGGAAGCACTGGAATCTTCCTCCTAAGACTGAGACTCTCCATGTCCTCTGCCCCCTGTCTGCAGACTACTTTCTCAGAACCTGCTCCAACAAAAGGTTGAGCTTGGTTGATTAGCCCGGATGGGATTGGGAGCTTTCTTAAGTTGTCCCTTGCTTCTGTGGAAACTGGTCAAGGATTGCACAGGGGCTTTGAGGTGGGGGTGTGGCTGCCACCTGGGTGCTTCTAGTCCGTCAGCTGTGGGAGTACGGGGGTGACTGGCCCCGGAGAGCTGCAGATCACTTGCAGTCCGATTGCTGGACAGGCTCTTAAAAGCCAGCCGGTATTTCTTTCCCTGCAATTGATGTAGTGCAAAGCTAACTGGCTGCCTTGCTGCCCCACAGCTCATCCTTGAGTGACAGCCGGTTCCTACTCAGTCTTATTTGCCATGAAGCTTGTTGTCCCTGCGTTCTGTTCCTAAAGGACCTCCCAGATACAATAGGCTAAGACACACTGAAGGCATGGCATCCTTTTACTACATGCACAAGAGCTTGAGAAATCAAGCCTTCCCGAGACTGCAGTCACGAAATACATTCAGTTTCTGAGGCAAGCTGTCTCCCTCTCCCCTCCTCTCTGTGCATCATTTGCTCTTTCATTTCGCATTAAGAGTAGCTTAGTGATCATGGACTTCAGCTCTTGCCTGTAGTGATCCTGTTCACATTTTATTCCTTACACAGAATAGGAAGGAGGTTCGCTTGCTTTGTGCAGAGGCTGAGCCACAGGAGAAGGCAAAGTCAATGTGATTTATTGAATGAAAGCACTGGACAATCACCAGCAACTTGCTCCTCTGCTGCCTCGAACAACCTAAACTGGTAAGTCAAATTTATTGTTGTCTTTCTCCGTGTGAATGTGGGGCTTTCTTAGTCACTGGTTAATTTTTAATGTGTATGTGTTGCTGCGGTTTCCTGATATAAAAAATTGCATCTTCTGAACTTAGCTGCAGGTGGTCCATGAAGAATGCACACGAGCACATACAGAATAGTCCATAACACTGCACACACGTCCATGTGGAGAGGCAAGGGTGGGGGTGGGAAAGCCCCCACTTCTGATCACCGAACATTTTGTTTGCAGCAAGCTTAAAGACATTATGTGCTTGCATAACTGATTAGCATTAGCTATGAAAAATAAATTACTCTTTCGTTGCATAAGATCATTTTCTAAGCGGGTGCCCAAGTACCTACAAAATACCTGTTGGATCAGGTAAAGATGGATCCTATCATGCTGGTAATCGTGGGTACAAACCCAGACATATTGCCATCTTTAATGCAGCTTGAAGCCTGGACAGAGTAGAAGACAGCCTTCTGTCCATTCTGGGTCAGTGTGCCCATATATGACATAATGATTGTGATGTTGAGGATACCTGCCAAAGGGACACAGTGCACATGCTGCATGCCAACGCTCCCTTGACCCACTGCACTTCTGCACCCATGTTCCTTAAATCCTTTCTTCGTTCCATGAAGATATATGGTAGCTAGTGTGCACTAGGTTCGAAGTGGGTTGTTCCAAGTGTCCCGTTACCTGTGTTGGTCATTAGCCCAGCCAGGGCTGTTAGAAGTACCACTGATAATCAAGGTTGTTTTTTCCTATTTGGGGCCCCCCAAACCTCTATTTTCACTTCGTCCTCTTCATTTCCTAAGTCAGATGTAAGCCAACCTCTATAGAGGGGAGACTGAATGGAGAAAGCTATTGCTTTCCTACCACCACCACCACCACCACGTCTCCTTAGTCTTTTGTTTGCTTGGCTACTACAAGACTTTATTGGCAGCATCAATCCATCTCTGGTGGGCTCAGAGTCCATATAAATGTCATACATGGTTTAATGTCTTTGGTGCACTCTATCTGCAATATATCACTGGCCATTAGGATGAAGTTGTGGTCTTGGGTGCTGACAAAGATGGATGATGTTGGAACAGTGAGCAGCATGCTTCTCTAAATAAAAACCAAAGTTAGGAAATATGAGAGATGGGTGACGTTTTGCCTAGTAGAAAGTATCCTCAGACCACTCCATCACAAGAGCAGGATAATTCTCCCATGCTCTGACATTCTAACAGGAAGGAGATAGAGTTTTCTAGTGGCTAGAGATGTCAGGATAGCAGCCTATGTCTTTGGAAAATGGTTTTACTCTCCCTAGACCTCCATTCCTCCCATTCCTAATAGTTTCAAAGAAGACATGCTAAGCTCAATTAATGTATCCATGAGATGCTTCTTAAAAGCTTTCTTGTTAAAGGGTGCAACAGATAACCAAGACCATTGTATATACACTGAGACCTTGCATCAGAAACCCACAGCTGAGTGGGTATGTGGGGAAGAGGAGAGGTATGCCCCTTCCCCGTGCAAGGGATATACAGCACACTGAAGAGAGCATGATCACACTTATGGGATTAGAAGGGGAGAACAGAGCTGGGAAATAGCATTAAAATAGCTTCAAATTCAAATAAATAAGTCATGTAAATAATTTTTCAATATTGATCAATAATAACTGATTTTCTGTCCTCATGATGCCAAGATCCAAAAGATCTTAAATGTTTTGAAACAAACATGCAAATATCTGGGGGGGTTAGTTCATGAATAAGTAGAATTCATGTATAGAACTTATGACTACTTTCAGTTGTTCAAATTACCCCCATACCCTAATACATGGAATTACAGATATAAATGCACTACGATTTGAAGAGTTCTAGGCAGCTCATTTCAGAGAGAGAGAGGAAGAAATTCTTTTATCAGGAATTCAGTTAAGTACTGCTGTCTTTTATAAAGTACAAATATTCTTAGGAGAAAGAATAATTAAGCCACTTATGCCTTACCATAAATGAATATATTAAAATGTTTCCATCTCAGCAGAAACCCAAAGGATGTTGCATTAATATTATATGAATTCTATTGCTTCCTATTTATTTCATAACTTTCTCCAAGAACTACCCTCATAATTGTTTCACTCTTAATCAGAAAACTAAGTAGCTTTTAGAACAAGCAAATTCCTTCTTTTTATGGAATGCTTGTATTAGACCATACCATCTAAATTTCCTCTAGACCAGGGGTGGGCAAACTTTTTGACTTGAGGGCCACAATGGGTTCTTAAACTGGACCGGAGGGCCGGAACAAAAGCATGGATGGAGTGTCTGTGTGAACTAATATAAATTCAAAGTAAACATCATTACATAAAAGGGTACGGTCTTTTTTTTTTTTTTTTTAGTTTTATTCATTTCAAACGGGCCGGATCCGGCCCGAGGGCCGTAGTTTGCCCACGGCTGCTCTAGACCCTTGAGAGTCACACTAGGGAAAGCTGAACTATCTTTCCCCTTTTAAATCCTCTCTTCCTCCTATATTCCTTCTTTTTTTTATACCTTTCAATTATTGGTGGAACATTATACACCTGTCAACCAAGCAAAGCTCACAGAAGTTATTTTCAGGTTTCCTGACTCCTTTAGCCCCTCCATCCAATCACTAGCCAAATGTGGTCCTTTTTGCTTCTTTCATTTTTAAAAATCTGTTCCGCCCTCTCTATCCCCATTGTCATATGCTGCATTTGAAGTCACAGGGACTTTTTCAAGAGCTTCATACTTGGTTGAAACATCACTGGTTCCACTATACCAGGGGTGGGCAAACTTTTTGACTCGAGGGCCACAATGGGTTCTTAAACTGGACCGGAGGGCCGGAACAAAAGCATGGATGGAGTGTTTGTGTGAACTAATACAAATTCAAAGTAAACATCATTACATAAAAGGGTACGGTCTTTTTTTTTTTTAGTTTTATTCATTTCAAACGGGCCGGATCCGGCCCGCGGGCCGTAGTTTGCCCACGGCTGCACTATACCCACCTCCCCTTCAAATAACCCACCAGGTGCTATCAGAGTAATTATCTGAAAATGAGTATCTCAGATTTTACTTAAAGTTCCTGGTGCTTCCCTTTTGTGAACTGGTGGAAGTCTATATTATTATCCTATCTAATAAAGAGGGAATATGCTAATGGAACCTCACACCATCGCAAACGATGGTGGCGCCCACAGCCAATAAGGAGGGAATATGCCAATTGACTGCCATGCCTTCAAAGATGGCGGTGCCCGGTCCCCTCAGCCCCACGAGGGCGGCAGGCATGCAGCAAGGCCGGACCCACCTCCCTCCACAGTCCCCCAGTCCCCTCAGTCCCCAAGGGCCAGCCCAAGGCGCAGGCAAGTCTCGGATGGCGGCTGCCCAGCACAGGGCCGGCCCGAGGAGCAGGCAAGCCTGCCTCCAGAGTCCCTTTTATCCTATGAGCTCCTTGGGGCAAGGTTGGGTAATCAATTTGTTTCAATTTGCTCAGCACTTTCCAGTTTTCGCACTGTAAGTTCTGCATTCTGGGAGATCCCTCAGTCCTGGCAAACTATGAGAAATCCTATCTCATTCACCTTTGAATCCCCAGGGTCTATCATAAGATACGTAAGTTACAAAGAGTTTATTGAACTATAAAGTCGATATTGTCTTTCTACTTTCTTCCTCATAAACATGCTTTGAAACTTCAAAATCCAGTCTTCTTGCTGTGAAGTCACAGTGACTTTTCAAAAATTGTCACTGAATACATAGTATTTTTAAATGCACAGGAACCTGAAAGGATGCTTCCACCTGTTGTATATCATCAGTGTAATAGCATTGGCCACCCTCTAGCAATGAAAGACATATCTGTCATATTAACAGCAGGTGGGGAGTTAGAGGGAAGAGTCATGCTTTCTTTTCTGTGTAGTCACAGGCAGGTTGAAGTCTGAAGGTGCCTAGTTCGCACCACAGCCTGAAGAGCAATCTTGTCCCAGTCAGAATGTCCCCTTCGCTGAATGTATCTGTCTACCCAGCTGTCAGAAGTGCCTAGATCTCCTGTTTCTAATATGCTTTGTCTTACAATGGCTCCTCCTCCAAACTGGCTCAGATCGTGTTCCACAGTACAAATGCAACAAGAATGTTCCCCAAGTAATCTCTATGAAACAGGACCTTGGACATGCCAGAACTCATGAGGGCAAGATCTTGTCTTCAGAATCAAGGTCTAGAAGAAGAAACTGACAGGCAGCCAGACCCTCAGGCAGAATAACATCAGAGTTGCTGAGAGCATGGGCTTTGAAGTCAGAGTTCAAATCCTGCCTCATCTATTTACCACCTATAGGATCTTGGACAAGTTACCTAATCCCCCTGGACCTCAGTTTCCTTCTTTGTAAAATAGATTTATCTTAGCCTGTGAAAACAAAGCCAGAGGCAAAGCTGATTGCGAATGTTCTATTGGTTATAGGGAGATACAACTTCAGGGCATCAGGAGTTAAGGAAAAGGGGAAATGAGTCAAGGAAGGAGAAAAAATAAGTATAGGCTGAAGTGCAATGAATTAGCAAGGGTTCACAAGCAAACAGATCTGGTTGTCCGTATGTGATTGCTTCCAAGAAGCCCTCAAAATAGTCCACAGGAGAGGAATGAAGAATTACCTCTTGGCTACTTTCAGTCTCCTGTCTCTTGTTGGTCCAGTTTTTCCCATTTCTAGATCATGTTACCCAGTCCCTCAGGGTAGCCATCAGTGAAGGGGAGCCTCCCTCCATGGGTCTGGCTGGGTCAGAGCTACTGTCACCACAATCATGATGGAGGCCATGCCAGAACACGCCCCTCACTTGAACAGCTGATGGTATTAGGAGAAAGGATGAGGGCAGCAACCAAGGCTTTCTTTCTACCTGATAAAGCAGTCAAGGCCTGGGGACCAGGTGGTTTTGAAGTAAACATGAGGAGGCTCCACTCTCCACAGGTTATGTTGCCATTTTGGACCTGGATTCTCCAGGACAGCGGTCGCCAACCAGTGGTCCATGTC